GAGAGAGAGAGAGAGAGAGAGAGAGAGAGAGAGAGAGAGAGAGAGAGAGAGAGAGAGAGAGAGAGAGAGAGATTGGTCGGAGAACCTGGCCGTCATGCCGGGCTCGTCCGTACAGGGACGGGCGGGATTAGCGGAGAGATGGTTAGCAGCTCAGGCCGGGGCTTCTTATCAGCATTACTATGAGCGTTCTCCCAATTCCTCCTCCTCATCTCCTCGTCAGGATCCCGGCGCTTCCTGGTCCTCTCTCCCGCCTTTTGTCTCCCTCGGCCCTCCCGCGGGCACCTCCGGCGCCGCCGCCGCCAACTCCATGAGGCGCTCACTGCGCGCCGCTTCCTCCGCCGACCCGTACGCCGACGGTCTCGCTGGAGCTTCTTCCCTATCCGGAGGAGCGGTAGGTGGAGGTGGAGGTACTGCTGCTCAAGGCGGCAATGTCAGCTTGATGAGTCTGTCCACTCCCCCCCCCTCCGAGAAGGACGTCATTCCTGAGTCCCTTACCGCCGGCGCATCCGGCAATGGACACGTGTCGGGATCCGGTGCGCAGGGATCTTCCCACAGCTTCTTCCCCAACGGTAATGAAAAGCTTTATGAAGCTTATAACGACCTCCATAGCCTCGCTCAGGACTTCCACAAGCCGTTCGATGCCCCTGCCATCCTCGTTGTGGGCCATCAAACCGACGGCAAGAGCGCGCTTGTCGAAGCCTTGATGGGATTTCAATTCAATCATGTTGGTGGCGGGACGAAGACTCGCCGACCCATAACTCTGCACATGAAATACAATGCAGCTTGCGTGGAACCTAGATGCTACTTGGTCACCGATGATCGGCAGCAGAGAGAGGAGGAGAAGAGTCTGGAGGAGTTGCAGGTAAAGTGACGCAACGAAGGAAGGGGAGAGGAAATGAAAGTAGATTGAAAAAAAAAACTTAAGAAAAAAAGTAAACAGAAGTCGTGAATCGAAATTGCTGGGTAATTCTGATCCGTTTCCCGGAGGTCCGGTGGTGGGTGGAAGTCAATCCGTGTGCTTGTTTTTTGTTGGGGTTGTGTGAGTGGGTGGGTGTGGGAGGGGTGTGTGTGTTTGTGTGCGTGGGTTTGGGTGGGTGCGAAGCTGTGGGTGTGGGTGTGTGTAGGTGTGTGCAGGGGGAATGATGTTTGTGTGTGTGGGTGTGGGTGTGGGTGTGTATGTGGTGAAGGTGCGTGGGTGTTGGGAGTGCGTGGGTGTGGGTGTTGGGTGGGTGGGTGGGTGCGTGCATGGGTGGGTGTCGGTGCTGGGTGGGTGGGTGCGCGCGTGCAGACGTGGGTGTGAGTGTGGGGTGGGTGGGTGTGTGCGTGCGCCGGGGTTGTTGGGTGGGTGGGTGTGCGCATGCGTGGGTGTGGGCGTGGGTGTGGGTGTGAGTGTGGGTGTGGGCGTGTGCGTGCGTGGGTGTCGGTGTTGAGCGGCTGGGTGCGTGCGTGGGTGTGGGTATATGCGTTTGTGGGTGAGTGGGTGTGGGTGGGATGGTGTTTGCGTGTGTCTGGGTGTAGGCGACTGCATGTG